ACCAAAAAGAAAAATTCAGTAATTTTTATACGGACAAGTACAAAACAAACTACAACATTTGCTCAAAATGTCCACTACCATTTTCGATGCACGCACGACACCTTCGAATTCAATTTTCGCCCACTCGCTGAAAAACACCTCAAGAAAAGGAAATAGTGGTAGGCAAAAAACACTCCGACACGGTCCAATTCCAGAAACCAACACCAACTGAATTGCATAATGCTGGACAGCTTAGTACCTCATGTTATCCGCCGCACCCTTGTCACATTGCTCTATATAAATTTTATCGAATTTTAAATTTATTACAACGCTAATTATTTTTTAGAATTAAGCATAAAGAAGTCCAAAAATGTGATAAATATTGTATTTTATGGTATTCTCTGCACGCAGTTATGTCAATATTTCTTAGTTAATCAAACTTATGTACATCAAGTTGGAGAGTTTGATCATTTTTCTAACACCCTGTAAATCTAATAATACCGGAAATATGGCCAAAAATATACAGTGTGTCCCAGAAATAACGCAAAAAAATTCGTATTTTATTATATGTTGCGTTTTCGCAAAAACGCTAAAACACGTCGATTAGTAAATAGGAATTGTCATTTTGTCACGTTGCTTAAACCTTTTTTGCGCTATGTTTCATAAACCTATGACGACATCGACATTTTTTTTAAATAGCACTACCGAATTTTTTAAGCATAAATGGACAGGAGCGAAAAAAGTCAATGACTGGAATGGACATGGTTTAAAATAACAACAAAAGTAGGTATCATAAACTGATGCGAGAACAGTTCCACAGCAAAAAATGGAAATTTGTGGATGTTTTGTGTTTTGGTTGATTGTAGGTACGTTTTTATGTATTGATATGTTGGCGTGTTCGGCGATACGACGAACGGCATTGTGTGGATTTTCAGTAACAGCTAAACATAACATTTTGCCTATCATTTTCTATCACTATCGTTGGCCTTCCAGATCTAGACAAATCTCTAGCATGTCCAGCGTCTTCAAATCTGCGTACATACTAATCTGCATACCGTAGACGGAGGTATTGGTTGTTCTTGAATAATTGACATACTTTATCATAACTACGGATCCTATCTCCGTATCCAACCATAATTAGGATTTCAATTTTGTTTCTCATTTAAACATACCATCATAATGTAAAGTTATGGTATTTGTAACTGTGACAATGATATGAGGCACTATTGCATTCGCTAACTGTCGTCTTCAAAACAATACCTACATAGCTGCTGTGGTCGGGTGTACCTACCAAATCTACATAAAAACAAGTACATACATTCAACCAAAACACATTTTTTGCTATAGCACTGTTAGCGCATAAGTGATACCTACTTTTGTTATTAATTCAAACCATGTCCATTCCAATCGTTGGCTTCTCTTTCGCACCTGTCAAAGTAAAGTAGGACAAACCCTATATCGACGCATTTCCCTTCAAAAGGGCTATCCACTTATGCTTAAAAAATTAGGTAGTGCTATTTAAAAAAAATGTCAATGACGTGATAGGTTTATGAAACATAGCGCAAAAAAGGTTTAACCAACGTGACAAAACGACAATTGCTATTTACTAATTGATGTGTTTTAGCGTTTTTGTAAAAACTCAACACTAAGTAAAATACGAATTTTTTGCGTTACTTCTGGGACGCACTCTATACCATAAACGTAGTGTATTAGACAAAAAATTCGATTAAAACTTTGCCTTCGTTCTCACGGGGGCGACACTGGTCATGCTACAGAGATAGTACAGGCCCTACCCCTTCATAAATGATTACAAGCTATACGACCAGTAATTTTCCTTTACACTGGAAAATAAATTTCAGTAAAATTAAAACAATAAAATCAAGATTACATTGAAAAACAACATTCTGTTTCACCGCTTGTGATTGGTATAATCTTCTATTCAATCAATCAGCGATCACATTATCTCGAACGTACACGTAAAGGTAGGTAAAGGTTTATTATTATTCACTGTAAACGAATCGATAATATTGGTAACGCCAAGATTTAGGGAATTTCGTTACTTGTACCAGCTCTGCAATATTGGTTGTCTAAACCCGGTCGTCACGTACCCTGAAAACATTCATGAAGGCTATATAACAATACAGATCTTCTTTGTAGATCTCAGGCAGTTAGCATTGACCACTAGGTGTAGCTCTTGTTGCTTACCTATTAACAATAATAATGGTGGTTTTAAAGCTTTCACAGTCCGTGCTGATGTTTAATGTACAATGGTTTTTCTGATTGTTATGCCATGGTGTACCTGGTCACCAGTCACAAAATTACTTGCACTTCCTTAGCTTCAACTTAACCGGCTCTTGTTGTTCTCGGGCTTGGCTTTATGAGGGCGGACTCGCTGTCAGAACCCCTAGGCCTGCCCCGATGATTTTAGTTCTTGTTTGTCCTAAAACTGTTAGGGACGAAACTGTTCCCCAAACAACTGTAATCATCTGAGGCATTCTGTAGTGATCTCTGTCTATCAAATAGGATATATTCATAAATTGAATTTAGCCTTCCATAATACGTACCAAGGCCGTTGTTATTTCTTTTTCATATAAATGATTTGCCTGCTTTTTTCATCAATCAAGTTAATCAAGTTTGTTTATAATAATTCCTGTTTTTGTTAGGGAAAAACTTTTGAAGAGGCACGTATCACTTAAAATCAATAGACTCCTAGGTATTAAAAATAAAGTTTAAAAGAAGAAATATGAGCATAATATAAATCGAACAATAGGAGTAAACATTTCCAGGTCCTAAACATAACTCAATGTTTAAAGTAAGACAAAACTTGAATAAAAGGATCAAACAATGTATTGCAGCAAGTGGTGAACTTTTCAATATTTATTGTAATTTGTCGCTGTTTTGTTTCGAAGATGATTATAGATTAATTTAATTTAGAACTTCTTTTCAAATATTCATTTTGTCAACCACTCATTTTTATTTAATTAATTTTACATTCCTTTTTACTTAATTGCTTTGTAAATATGGATGGAAGACATTGAGAATACATATTGTTTGCGTTTGCATAACTTTTTGACATACAGTTCTTTTGATTTAATCATCTCATTGAAAAATTACGTTTAATTCGAAAACGGTCTACTTTTTTTACTTCAAAGAAGTATATCTTTTGTGTGAAATTAATGCCATTTTTTTTTATTTTTGATCGAGAATGTACGTACACTGCCGGCCCTTTGAAAGTGGACGATTTATTTTTCTAATGTGATGTGGTCTACTTTTTATTATGACAAGTTTTTATATGTCAGTGTCATTAGTAATTTTCTTGGTAATTCAAGATTCCGCGTTTAACGGAACCAGAGAAAGTGAAAGCTATAACTTTACTTTAGAATGATTGTTCACTTGCGCATGATCTGCATGTATGCAAGAACAGCATATTTAAACTCAAAGAAAAATGGATTGCGGAGGGTCACGTATGTTATGTTCACGGAGGTGGACGTCGAAAAGTAAGCACCACCTAAGAATAAATCCTTTTGCCATGACAGTAGCGGCTTCCTTTGAGACGAATTTTCCTGGATCAATGCGAACTGCAAGGAAGCGGGTGAAAGATTCGGAGCTGAAGAATTATGTGGCCGCAAATACAGTCGCTTTGACTCCCCAGTATAAAGAACAGAAGTTAGAGTTTGCAAGACAATTTGTAGGAAGCCCAGACAACTTCTGGGAGAATATTATATTTTCGGACGAAAAAAGTTTTCAATCTTGCTCCGATGCTTCTGTCTGTGTCTACCCACCAGAGATTATGAGGTATTCGGAGCCTTATGTGAAACCCACACAGCGCGGCGATGGATTCTCCATTAACGTTTGGGCTTGGATAAGCTGCCAAAGTCCTGATGTTTGCTGTGACTATGCTGTATCCTCAGAATTTCACTTTCAAGCAGGATAATTGTCGTCCAGGGGATATATGGTGAAAAAAATTTACGACAGAAACTTCCGTCCAGTTAACGCCGAAGAACTTTGGGAGGCAATTGAAAACGCATGGGATAACATCACTGAGGATTATAACAAGAACATTAATTTTATCAATGCCATGTAGATTGCAGTGTTATAGACAAAAATGGTGCTTGGACAAAATACTAACTTTACGAATCGCGTTTTTTTAACGACGAAACGTGTTTAATTTTTAGATCACGTTGAGGGCGAATGAATGGCCGTTAGAATGTATAATATATTTCAGTATTGGAAAAATAAATAATTTGCTACCTAATTTGGATTTGTTTTGTTCATTAGAACTAGTATGATAGACACACACATTAAATTTGACATAATGACAGCCGATTTGAACCTCACATTTTCAAGTCAGCTTCACAAAGGCCAATTATAGACAATTTGCTTAAAAGAGTTGTCCACTTTCAAAGGGCCGGCACTGTACATACAAGGTGGACAAAAAGTTACGGACCACTGTTGCTGTAGGTGGCGTCATCTAGCGGCAATGGTGAAATTTATACTATTTTCGTATTACGCATGCTGAGCAATAACACCAAATTTCATCGAAATCCGTTGAACAGCTTTCAAGATATTTGAAACACTCTGTAGAATGAAAACGAGGAACATTTTGCTGAGGCATGTTGGACCCAAACATTTTATTTTGATAAGCTTTCACCTCTTAGCTAATGTCCAATTAATTATTATGGGACACCCTGTATAGTGCTTGTTTATTATTTTATAAAAAAAGTACATTGTATTTTGTATATGTGGCAGTAAACGTATATATTATTGTTTTATTACACTGTAACAATAAATATTATGACTAGTTCTATACTATTATTGTTATAGTCTTTGGGATAATATAATAATAGTATTTGCAAAGCGACACCTGTCGACTGGACTATAGAGCGTCGCGGTGCCTGATAATGCGTCGCCTGAGCTAATGCACCTCCAGTAGCGCGTGCACCGCCCGTGAAAGAGGTAGCAGCTCTGGCCATGTCTTCGAATTACCTTCACGCACATCTGTCGCCTTCCAGTAGAAGAGGATGATAGAGTACAAACCGAATCAGGGCAGCGACGAAATTTTCGAGAATAATCGCCTGATTGGAACCCAGAATGAGGAAAAGCTCTCGCTAACCCAGCTATGGGAAGTCATCGTACGCACGAAACGTCTTCCAGGTAAATAAACTTTGACTTGACGGGGGTGAAGTCATCCTTAGAAATAGCGACCTTGTCTGCTCGAACAATAGGGATGATAGGGGTTAAGGTTAATGGTATGATAAAAGAGGTTCTGTGAAATTGCTTCGTGTTAATTCCGTTGAAAAAATTAATGAAAGGCTTGGTATATTTTCTTGTATAAAATACGTCCATTTATTTTCAAACTTGATTTATAATGAAGTGGAAGTCAAGTAAATTTTATTTATTATGTTCAGATAGCAAGCAGAATACTGAATAGAAACTGGTATGTTAATAAAACTTTAAATATTAGATTGCCACAAGTTACAAGCTTTGTGGATGTTTTACGAATGGGTGCCATCGTCTCTGAATACCTGTATCTAATTTATATTACATTCTGCAACCCGTTTTGATTTTATGTACTAAAATTAACCCAAGCAAAAGGAATGTTGTATTTTATAATACTCGTACTATCAATTATTTAGCTATATAAAAACTGCCTTTAGGACTAAAAATTATTTCTTTGGATTTATAAATATTTAGCAAACTTTTCTTAAGACAATAGTTTTGTGACAGTCTTTAATCTTTTATATGTACTAAACATGTAGAGATTGGAAAATGCTCTAAATGTAAATGTACAAAATATACCTACATATTATATTAAAACTATAAGTATGAACTATAAAACTATAACATGTCTTATTGGATTAAAAATGTCTCTTTTAGATTTATAAATAATTTGTAATGTAATCACTAATTTTGTGAGTCCACTAAGCAAATTATTATTTGGACAATAGTATTGCGACAGTATTTAATAATTCTGAGATGCACTAAATATGTAAGGTTTTAAAATATGGTTATTTAAAAAATGTATACCAATACTACAAATGTCAACCTAATACTTAATACAGACTTATATCTATAAAGTATAAAAAATACAACGTAAAGTTACACAAATCTAACAAATCAGTTTCTTTAGTTGATTTTGAATATTTTAAACTTTTTCTAATAAGGTGCAAAATACTGTAAGTAAATTTGGTGCTAATTGCCACATTATTAAAACCATAGACCTCTTCATATCAATCATAAACATTTCTTAGAACAACTTTTTGGAATCAAAATACCTACCAAAATTGTTTCTTGGGAGCTATAGGGTAGAGGAGTGTAAAATATAGAAAAACACACTGTATGTATTTATGGTAAAATTGTGTAAACGTCATTTTTATTTTTCGACTTCTTTTTATAAATTTTGAGCAGATAAATAAAAAATTACAAAGAGAATATAGGTCATTCCTTTATCTGTGTATTTTACAAACACAGGGAGGTAACTAAAATACTACACTAAACAAAAGAATACATATAATCGTGTATTCGTATTCACTTCGTTTTATAATACTCATACAGGGCGTTTAAAGTTAGTGAAAAGATACAATATAGATGTTTAATTATTGTCATTATTGTTTTAATATTATTAAATGTCCTTCGAGATATTTTATTCATATTATAAACATTATCTCGAGACATCAGGGCACTAATTTACAAAGTATTATTCAAATCCCACATATTATGCAAATGCTGTTCTTAGGGCAGGACTATTATCATTGCATCGTCAACTTTTCTTTTTCTGAAACAGTTTAAAAAATTTGAGCCCCAGAATCTTAAGAAAAAAAGGTGCTGTTGTTTAATTTTGTTTGATACAATGGTTTTTGAGCAATTTAGGTTTATATAATATATGATATATTTGTATATTAGTTTTGTCACACATTTCGAACAATTTCCTTCAAACAAACTAGTTATGTTATCGCTTAAAAAAGTGAATTTGTTTTTCTTGAAGTAAATAAATAATGTAGAATTTTTTTGCGTCAACTTATTTAAACTACCTGTCTTTTGGAAATTGTTCGAAATATGTGACACTATATCTCTCGTAAGTAAATTAAAATTTCTGGAAAATAGTTTGATTTATCAAAATTAAACAAGATAATAATGTTTCCTTAATAGTCCAGAGATCAATAATTTGAAACAATTTTTTGAACGATTAAGAATTAGGGACGAAAGATAGTCATCTCTTGAAATCTATTACACGACATGCAGGATTTGAATATACTGTGCAAATTATTGTCTTATTGCCCTCAGTCTTTATTTAATATATCGTTAAAGTATATAATTATATTCCTGTAAAAGGGTTTTCGGATAAAAAATTTAAAATGGAACCCTTATATTTAACATACTGTTGTGAAAATATCGGGACAATTAGGACCTATCTATACAAGAATATATTCCTTAAATCGTGAATTAAACTAAAACTTCTTCAAAGAAGACGTTGTACTCGAAAATGGAATTATTTCTTATGGATACGTATAAATTCTGCAGCATATCCATATATTTACGGAAAATTATATACTAGATTTGAGTAAATTCCATTTATTAGTTTTTTTTTGCAGTAAAACAGAATAATATTTTTTCATTAAACTTTAAGTCTAGCAAATAATTAGTTTTCTATATTTTGGCGAATGCGCCAGTCATATCGACATTGTAATCGATAAAAGATCATTAACCCAAATAAAATATACAGATTTCTTTTACTGGCAGGTATATGTTATACATTTTTATAGTTCAATTTTTTATGAAAACTTTATCGTTAACTGAACCGAAGTAATCATAGAACATTATACGAGTAGTTTAATGGCAATGGCACACACACTATATCGCACTACACTAAAATATATTTTTAACGATTAATGTTCTCGTTCTATTACCCTATTTACCCAAAACAAATCAAACTATTCATAGAACTCAGCACGAAACTCTTCTAAAATCCTTCCTCCTTTTCAGCCTAATGAAAGTAGGTAACTCGCAATCAATAAGTAACGTAAATTAATATTAATATATTCTTAACCGATGATATTTAAGATTTCACGTGCGTGCTCACTTAAATTTAATATTCCGTAGATAGATAAGGCCTGTTATTTCCGTCCAAGGATGGTGTTTTTATAGACGAAAGTACTTAACACCGGAAAATATATTTAAGTACTAAATTTAGTAAGGAAGGAAATATACGTTGTTACAATAATGTGTTTGTATCTTGAAATAGCGACAAGGACGTTCGTTATACGGAGGCGAAGATGTAGTCGACTGGTATGACTTTTCAAAAGTGTCATTAAAATTTGACATACAGCAGTGGGTGTTTAACATAGGGTGTAACTAAAATGCTTAGCCAAACATTCATGTAGAACTTTCACAAATTTATAAAAATAAATTCTTATAAAAATGTGTGCAAAAGCCACCACCAAAGCTAATCCCAAAACTAATTATATTATTTCAAGTTGCAAAAAAACCGTTGAAGAAATCTCTTGTGTTTCATAAAATTCTAAAGCTGATTAAACACAAAACAAGTTCTCTATTTGGTATGGTAATATTTTCCTACAAATGGTACAATTTTTTGAGAGTCTAACATAGAACCGCTAGCATATTATTATTATTTTAGAAATAAGTTACATCCAACCAAATTTGTTATCAAAACCAGATAGCAATGAGTACAATAATTTCAAATATATTTTATGAAAACACCGTTGTGTGAATAATCTGAGTGATATATTAAAATGTAATAATTTATCAAATTATAAATTTAAAATATGAAAGAGATGTTTTAAGAAAGCTTCATATCAACATATTGAAATATGTTCTTGCACCTTTTTGCTCATTTTTTCAACCAACCCTTCATAAAGATTAATTTCTCTTACTCCAATTTTTATTATAATTATGCCCTAAGAGATGACAATTGCCTAGTCGAACGTAGAAATATCCACACGACTGGGTTTTTCTTCATTTTTTTTTCTATGTACTTTATTTATTATAATATTCCTTCAATACTGAAGAAAATGGGCAATTTATCCGTTGAAATTTTAAGAGAAAAATTATGAATAACACATAAAAGAAATATGATGTATGTGATCAAATTCGCGTTTTATTTAAAAAAATGTCATCTAATGAGGTATTTGTGTGATAAAAGTATGAGGAAATATCGTCTCGTTTATAAGGGACATTTTCTTATCTGTTTATACGGATTATCTTTAAAGTGAGCTGAAAAATTAGTTTATTCAATAATTTTGATTATCTAGCAAACATTATTTTAACTTTCATTTTCGTAGTTATAATTATTATTTTAATTTGACATTTTATCTTTCAACTTCGCAGTTATAATAATAATCATTAATTATTATATAGAAAACTATGAGAAGTATTTTGTTCCTGTCATGTGTGTAGAGATGTGTAAACATGAGAAGAGATCATTTAACAGAACTAAGTATTTCTAAATAACTGTTAGTTATGAAAATAAGTAAAGAAAATTAATTATTTACTTCAGCTTGCAAAAAACAGTTGAAGAAAACCATTTTATGTAAAAAATAACTGTGGTTATACTTTAGTATTAGGTACTTATACGTGTATGACATTTTACTATTTACCTGAAAAACGGCATTAGTGACACGTAACAAGAATATAAGTACTTTTGTAAAGCTTTTAGTACTTCATCAAAAAACATATATTCTATTATTAACTCTCACATGTTTCTACTCTTTTTTGAAGGTGTTAAAGATAATTTAAACAAATTAAAATAATAATGACAATATTTTTTTAAATAAACAATCCTATTATATTCTCGTATGTATATGGGTGACTTAGAAAACATAACGAGCAAATAGAAAATTCTAAGCAGCTTGATTTAAAATTCCATCTTGGTAAGTTTACCATCCTAAGGGATGTGATGTGTTAGAAATTATTCCATGCGTATTTTGTTAAATCATATGAAAACTTTTATTTCTCTCAATAGCTTTTATTATAAAAGATTTTCTACAGGGTGATACTACACGTAAAATGGTGACCATTGGCGCAAACATGCCTTATTCGAAAGTTGATAGTTTCGGAAATACAGGGTGTTGAAAGTTAAAATTTTAAATCGTTTTTTTGCGATTATTCTGAAAATATCTAGGTTATGAACTTGAAAA